CACTGGTCCCATCACCTCCTGGCAAATAGAAGGGGAAGATATGGACGCAGTAACAGATTTTACTTTCTTGGGCTCCATGATCACTGTAGATCATGACAAGAGCCCCGAAATTAAAAGACACCTGCTTCTTGGGAGGAAAGCGATGACAAACCTAGACAACATCTTAAAAAGCAGAGACATCACCTTGCTGACAAAGGTCCGCATAGTCAAAGCTATGGTTTTTCCAGTAGCGATGTATGGAAGTGAGAGCTGGACCATAAAGAAGCCTGACTGCCGAAGAATTGATGCTTTTGAATTGTGGTGCTGGAGGAGACTCTTGAGAGTCCCCTGGACTGCAAGGAGAACAAACCTATCCATTCTGAAGGAAATCAACCCCGAGTACGGGAAGGACAGATCCCAAAGGCTCCAATACTTTGGCCATCTCATGAGAAGAGAAGACTCCCTGGAAAAGACCCTAATGTTGGGAAAGTGTGAAAGCAAGAGGAGAAGGGGACAACAGAGGATGAGATGGCTGGACAGTGTCATCAAAGCTACCAACAGAACTTTGACCCAACCCGGGAGGCAGTGGAAGACAGGAGGGCCTGGCGTGCTCTGGTCCATGGAGTCATGAAGAGTCAGACACGACTTAACGACTAAGGGTACAAAATAAATGCTCACATCACAATACACTGGTTGTTATGGTATATGATTTTGCACAAGATCTCAGTCTAGGCTGGTCTGAATCCTATTGTCAGTCATATTGTTCATATGAACCATTTTTTCCTTGATCCAACATATTAGCCGTAACCCCAATGGTCCTATCATAACAATGGAAACTAAAGCCTATGCCTACATACATAAATGTTTGACTTTGGATACTTGAGCAAACAAAAATTGATAGAGCAAAGCCCAGATTTTAATTTGCAGTTTTGGCTCTTGCTACTGCCACATGTGCTGATAATGGCTGCTACAGAGGCGTGCAAGAGGAGGAACAGTCCTGTCTTTCTTTTTGACAGATCAGCATCTGACTTTCCCGCTTCCAGTGGGGTTCACCATTCTCCCCAAGCTGCACCATTCCACTAGCAACCAGCTGCAGAGCAATGGGAAAGACTCTGTTCTCTGCTTCTTTGACTTTTTCCTGTATGGTCTTCTCTGTGTCTTCCTCCTTCACAGAGACAGGCTCCTGCAAAATTATGCCTTCAAGACTATTATTCTCCTGGGGGTGGGGGAGAGAAGGAGAGGTTCCATCAGAAAGGAGATATACCTTCTCTGGAGATGATCAGAGAAGCAGAAATGCCTAGCCAGAAAAAGAATGGTCAAACAGGATAAGAAGGGATGGATGGAGAGATTGCTGAGAGACAGGAGTTAAATAAGCTGCAAGTTAATAGGGACTTTGACTGTGTGCTGCCTCTTTAAGAGGCAAGCGGGGAACATCTCAGTGCAAGCAGGTCTTGTTGGGGGCGGGATGAGAAGAACATAGGGGAATGTTTTCAGTTTGGGGCAACAGCTAGTGGAAGTAGTTGAAACTTGTTCTGCTTCCTCGGGGGTCAAGAAAATCCTGGTCCTATTCAAAGAAAAATATTATTTCCTAACTTCAGATCTTTCTCTGGGTTCCAAGAGGTTTTAATAAATGACTGCTAGTATAAACATCTGTGGGGTGGGTGTTTCCCATATATGTAAGTAAAAACTCATCAGTGGATTAGGAAAAACTGCATGGACATAATACAGTGGCTTTGGCAAGGGGAGGTGGTCTCTGAAATCTCAGTGAGACTCTTGTTTGCACCAGCAATGTTGAAGGAATAGCACTAGTCCCAGTTTCCATGAACATTAGCTGCCAAGGCTTGTCACTTGCAACTTTTCTATGTAGAAATGCAGCTACTCCAAACAACATCTAAATAATAGATGTTGTCTGCAAATAGCATACAATTTTGCAGGGTTGTAGAATGCAGAAAAATGTCTATTCTCCAATGATTAAAAAAAATACTTACAAGTACAAAATGAACTGTACAACCAGCAGTTTCATCTGTAGATGAGAACATGAACTTGGGGACACTCCGTCCTTTAGTTAAAGGTGAAAGTGATGGATAAGTGCCCAAAATTTTCCCTACAATCCAAAAAAATCACCATTCAGTATTGTCGCAGTAAGGCACAGTAAGGTGCAGACATACAAGAAGCAAACTGTGCCCCAACATGAGATTATTAGCAGAAAATCATTGTTTTTGGTATGAATTCAGACAGGAAATTCATTGAACTCTAGAAGGTAGTATTTCCCAGATGCCAAATACTCCGGATCCATTCACTATTCTGAACAGGGATGGTGGAAGGATATACCAAGGCTGAATTCTGAAGCAGGCTCACCTGTTTCTCTTTCCTAGAGGACTGATTTGTGGAATCACCATGTATTCTTACTGTAGAGTTCATATTCTATCTAATTTCACAAAGTAGTCTAAGGCTTGCTTACATTTTTTTGGTTTTTTTTTTCAACATAATTTCCCACAACAGTCCATTTTCCAAAGGGGAGGAAAGGGTGCCCCCTAGAAATTGTTGGAAATAACTAGGTGCAACTCAGATTATACCCAAGAAGGTCTTTGCACGGGGAAGAGGACACAGAGAGGTTTCTGCCTCCCCAGGTTTCTCGGATTTTCTTTTACCTGCTCTGGCCTGTGCTGACCTCCCTTTGACCCT